ACCAGCCGCAGAGACGGCTCCGACAAAAGGAGCAGTGGCGGTTCTGTCCAGCCAGAGGGGATGACATCCGAAYTGGCAGGAGCTCAGAGATAATCATGCCCGATCCGACAGAAGCCTGGAAGTGAGTGCGCGAGGTGGTTATAAAATGCTCCCTACCCCCCAAGAACGAGGTATGCTAACTTTTGCGCTATCTGGCTTATCTTGCCTTTGAAAGATTCTAACTTGAGCTTCGGAGCCCTTACGCCGGGTTCTCCCCGAAGCTTCTTCACCCCCTCTGTTTCAGGTCCCTTGCCACTCAGTTCAGAGGCAAGATCGTTGACAGCTAAGACCGGCCGGATTTTGCATCATCACAACTGATGGTAGTTCAAATGCCACTCCCACTAGGGTTGAGGAGTTAAGACAAGGATGGAGGATGGACTAAAAAAGTAAGGCTCGGGTGAAAAAGAGTACTATATATATATAAGTGTGGCTGTAGAGTGAAAGGTTTTTTTGGACTAAAAATATCTTATATTTTTGTTGTCTAATAAAGGGCATAAAAGTCATTTTATTATAGTTTTAATGCCAATTTTAATGGCTATTAAAATGCCCATATGTGTATATTTAGTCAATCTCTAATTGCAATAGTTGAAAATATAATTTCAATTATTAGCTTCCACCTCATTTAATCCCCTCTCATTAACTCTTATACTTAAGGCATTAATTAATATTTTTGTTGTCTAATAAAGGGCATAAAAGTCATTTTATTATAGTTTTAATGCCAATTTTAGTGGCTATTAAAATGCCCATATGTGTATATTTAGTCAATCTCTAATTGCAATAATTGAAAATATAATTTCCATTATTAGCTTCCACCTCATTTAATCCCCTCTCATTAACTCTTATACTTAAGGCATTAATTCATATTTTTTCTTAATAAATTATATATTTAAGTTATTTTTACTAATAAATGTTACTAATTAAATTTATGTCAATATTTTTAAGAATATAAACCTATATAGTTTAAAACTAACTGAAAAAACACAAACGGAAAAGTATGGACATGCCCATTGTAGATATTTGAATTCCACTACATACCTATAAAAATTCAAAATGCCAAATACCCCCACCCTATACACCACCCCCATCAATTCCGAGTTGGCACCTACCCTAACTGTACTTTGGGCCTAAGAATTCTGATCCTAGGCTGAACCGTCGTTCTCTTAAAAACAAAACCATTATTTATCAAGTAGTGGCTAAATAATTCAACCAACCAAATCAAATTGATCAACCTATGAAGTAAATATACAAAATTACAGAAACGTAAAAAGAAATTAAACATGTTTATGATTTTTTATTAATCAAATTAAAAAATAAGTGTAATAAAAAAATTGTTTTTATTGATGATGAAAACGATATACATAATTTAGGACTAACCGAAAATGAAATTATTTTACTATTTGACAAAGATCAATAGTTCATATTTTGGATTGAATGTGTTAACCTTTAATGTCATAAATAAATAATAAAAATAATAGAATATAAAAATACAAAAAATAAAAAAAATACATATTTTTTGCAAAAAAATAAGTGTGGCATATCAAAATTATTTTTAACATAAAATGCAAAAGAACTATAAAAAATTGAAATCATCTATAATTCTATATTTACATTACTATTAAAAGTATGAATAAGATTGTGAAACTTTCTTTTGATTAGCCCCTTTAATTGTGAGGTTTAAATTGTAAATTGAACTACAACTTTTCACCTAATTCAATTCCCTTTATTTAAACCTTATGTTTTTTACAAATGAACAAAAAATAGATACACTTGCAAGGTAAAACATTACAAAAACAATCTAGCCACAAAAGTAGGCCTACCAATGACACTTTAAACTTTACAACTTTACCACATATTTGGACAAGGTGTTCATGTAATCATATTTGGATTTGACAATCTGCACCCAATTAATGATAAAAAATAAAAAATGCATAAATTTTATATAAAATTTTGGATAAATTATTACTATCATTATCATCACATAGAATTATCACACACACACACATAGTACAAATACAACGTTTTGCATTTAACCCTACATTTGGTAAGGGGACAAACACTGAATTGAAGCAAATTTGTACTATGGTTCAGATTTGCATGCATTTGGTAAGAATACGTTTTCGTATTAAAAGTGAACATTTTTTTTAATGACATGTTTGCATTCAAAATGGGAGCAAAGTTTGATTCCAAAAATAGGATGCAAACTTTGCGCTTAAAGTTGATTAACGTGAAAAAAGTAGATTCCAATGTTGAAATTTGTGTGTTGTACCCATCACAACCAAACATGTTTGGTAAGAGAACAAAATTTGTCAATACAAAACCAAATCAACTTTGTATTTTCATTAACTGTTCATATTGCATTTACACTTTTACCAACTGCAACCCATAATTTGCACTCTTACTTGATACAAAATTTGTGTTTTTTCTCATTTTGCACACACTAGCAGTGTAAGTTTTGCATCTCAAAACCGGATGCAAAATACCACCTTCTTCCTATCCCAATTCTCTCTCATATAAAGTGGGGGCTACATCATCTTGCTCCCTACCTTATGCTCCCATCTCAATTCTCTTGCATACAAAGTGGGACCAAACTATTTTACTTCCTATTTTACTTTTCACAAATAAACATGACAAGGTCAAATCTAAAACAAAAATAAGCTAGATTCACACTCATCCTATTTGCATTCCATTATATTTACACCAGTGCAAATGAAAATTGTACCTCAATGAAACACAACTTACGGTTCAAAATTTTGATATGATATGCCCCATATTAATAACTTTTGGAAACCCCAAATAAGAGGTGTTTTGGAATTTGGGCACTTTCAGGGGTAGATAAGCCTAAAAAGACCCCTAAAACATTTAAAAGAACTAACGCTGTGTTTGATTGCAGTGCAAATTTATTTGCACTAGTACAAATGCATGGGAGTGCAAATGTCAAAAATGCATATTCTTATTTAATTTTATTTTGGGTTTTACTTTATTCTGCTTCATGTCTTAATTAACTCCATTTATATCGAAATCAAACAAAATAAGCTAAAATTTAAAATAAAAATAGGTCAAAATATACATTCAAATCATTTACACTTTCACGATTTTACATGAGTGCAAATTTACTTACATTGCAATTAAATACAGCCTAAAGAAAAAATTCTGAAGTATCGAAACACCCGATATGTCTGTTCGTACGTATCCATACTTTAAACCTAAATGCACTCTATGTATTTGTACTCCTTTCAAACTGAGCTGAGCTTAAGTTAAGGGCCGTGATGCAGAGAATGAGAAAAAGCCCACAAGGCAAAGAATCTGGATTCTGGACGCTCCATAAAACATACGGACGACAATGGACATAAGTCATAACTATCTATTTATTTATTAGTTTTTTGGCTCAAATTTTCATAACTATTTTGATATTATTATCTATCATGACAAATATGACAATTTTATCTTTTCTTTTTTCGTGATGTAAAATGGAGGAGGATAGACGTGAGAATTGGATTTGGATTGGTCAGAATCGTGGATGACGAAACCGTTCGTTCTAACTTCGTGGGCCGAAGCCCAATATAAGAATAAGGAGGTCAGACAGACTGGCTTCACGTAAATCTGCCATCATCTACCGTCCGATTGGAATAAGCAATATATGTGAACCCCAAGTTTAATCTAATCTGGATATCTGGTGGTTTTCAGGCAAGCTCTCACATGAGACCGGTCTCAGAAAATAAGTTTCAAAGAAAATGAGAAAGAACAAAAAGAAATGGGGATCCCTAACTTTTCTTTTCTTTTCCTTTTTTTTTTGTTTTTATTTTAATGGAAAAACTACCAATAACAGCCCAAACAGTATCTCCAGATCCTTCACCCATTTCTTCGCTGAGCTGGCTTTCTTTGGTTCTCTCGAAAACTCACCAAGGCTAAACCTAATCAATCCTTTGCTTCTTGTCTCGGTATTCGAATCCATTGCTTCAGTCCAATAGTCATCGGCTTGGAGTTCCCCCTCTTGAATTCTATAAATTGTTGAGAACCAATTTCGGTTCTCGCTCCTCGCTCTTCGGTTCCTTTTCTTGCTTTCCTGCGCCATTTTGAGCGAGTGGAAATGGCGGGGCCTGTAGTTGACGCGGAATACCTCAAGCAAATTGAGAAGGCTCGTCGGGATCTGCGTGCGCTCATCTCCAGCAAAAACTGTGCGCCTATCATGCTTCGTTTGGCGTAAGTGCTCATTTTTATCTTCTTCCCGGCTTAATGTTCAATTGGTTCTCTCCTAACTTCTCTCTGTCAGTTCTATACTTCTGTGTGTGTGTGTGTGTTTTCAATTGGATTTTCGTCTTCACGGGTTTTTTCTTGGTTTTTGGGTTTATCTACTTCCTTGTAGCTGACTCTTTTTTTTTTTCATCAATTTTCTGTATATTTTTTAGGTATTGTACCAATAGTTTGTCCTTGTTTTTCATGTCTGTTAAGTGTCATCTCATTTTGTTCCGTCTCTGTCGTGGCAATTGGGTCTTGGTCTTATACTTAAATTCCCAAATTGTAGATTATTTACTTCTTTTTCTTACTTATTCGAGAGTTGTAAGTATATGTTTGCTGATTCCAATTTATTCGAGAGTTGCTGTATAGAATTATGCCTTAAAATTTTTATTCATTACAAATATGAGAACTCCTGATTCCAATTTAAGTTAGGAGTGCGTTGGTGTTAGTTGTATTTGAATCCGAATAGTTCAGCCTGCTCATTTGAAGACCCTTGTTAAATACTTGCTGTTCTTTGAACTTATTTATCAAAAACAAAAAAGTTGTTATATTTCATCATATACTTATTTGTGCTTAGTGTTTAATCGTCCTCATGTAGATAGTTTCAGAAAGAAAAAAATGTCCTCATGTAGCTAGTGGATGATACCATCTCACTTGAATTTTACAATATTTATTGGATGACCATATTAATTAATATTAGGGGCAATTTTGTTATCGTAGGTGGCATGATGCAGGCACTTATGATGCTTCGTCTAAGACAGGTGGCCCTAATGGCTCAATTAGGAATGAGGAAGAGTACAGGCATGGCGCAAACAATGGCTTAAAAATAGCAATTGATCTTTGTGGTGAGCTTTGCTATTCACTATGTTCAGTGTCTCCAAGCTGAACATTTGGGGTACATGATAATTGATGACTTTGCAATTTAGGGATTTTAATTTACTGTTACATCTTATCATCTTCATGAAAGGATTTATTCTAGGAGCTTAGTAAAGCATGCACAGATCAGTAATGTCTTATGTGTTTCTGTTCATAGACTAGAAACAAATCTGGAGAACCATGCACCTTTGGACTAGAGGAAGAAAAGACAGAAATTCTAACTAAATGCTTAAATTGATTACTGTAAAGAAAACGACTAAGGAGAAACCTAGTTGATTAGCTTTAGTTGTATGAAGTTAAAAGAGATTGAAACCTGTCATGGCTACAGAAATGATCATTCATGAACCTGGGTATTCTTAGAAGTTCTCCTCTTAAAATATAAGTTAGTTGTGGTGGCTATGCATTTTTGGAGAAGAAGTGGTATGAAAAGAAATTGATTGTAAAGGAATACACCTGTACTTGTAGATCAGAACCACTTGTCTTGATAATAGAAATCATGAGACATCAAAAGGAATGTGCTGTCGGAGAATATTGCAATGTTGTATTTGTTGATCCTTGCCAACTTGGGGATCTTTCAAGTTTCAAGTTCCTACAGGGCATCATGGAAATGTCTATGTTTAGGGAAGTGTCTAACAGAGGATATCTTAGCAAGAAAAGGTCTGAGTGTGGAACCTAACAGATGTATAATGTGTAGGGGAGCTTTCGAAGATTTGGATCATCTTCTTATTCATTGCAGACTGGCTAGAAGTTTATGGGCAAAACTACTTGGTCTTTTTGAAGTTCAGTTTTGTTTTCCAAATAATCTGGCCGACTATTATGGAGTTGGCAGCTGAAGGGCTTATGTAAAGAAGGTAAGGCGATATGGGGAGTAGGGCCAGCAACAGTGGTATGGGTTATTTGAGTGGAAAGAAATAGATGGTTATTTGAAAACAGCCACAGATCAGATGAATGCCCTGTTGAAAGAATTTTGGGGTAAATTGTATTCTTGGGTGGGAACACATAAAAAACTTTAGGAGTAAACCTTAATAGTTATTTTTTCAGAACAGTTCTCTTTTTGTATCTATGCACACAGGATAGAAATGTATAGAGAATACATGGACCACTGCACAGTGCCTTGCTGTGCAGATTGGTATTTTTTGCTGTTTTATGAGTAATACAATACTTTACCTCTCTCTCTCTCAAAAAAAA